AGGGAGCGGGGCGCCGTCGGAGGGTCGGGGCCGAGGGAGCGGGGCGCTGTCGGAGGGTCTCCTGATTTGGGAGGAGCCTTCTGCTCCTGCCCGATGGATAGCTTTGGGAGGGGTGGTGTTTACCAGGTTTGTGAATTTGTATAGCAGCCTCTCTCTCTGTGTCCTTCCCCCACCCAACAGGGATCGACTTGATCGTAGCTTTTTACGGGTGTCTCTACGCAGGGTGCGTTCCGGTTACTGTGAGACCCCCGCACCCCCAGAGCCTCTCCGCTACCCTCCCCACAGTCAAGATGATCGTCGATGTGAGTATCCCCCTGCGCCCCCACCCCCCACCCGCTTCCCAAGCCTTCGGGAATTTCAAAACTACACTGGGTGATCGTTTTTATTCACTCGATGTGGGGTGGAGGGGTTTTGGGGGGTGTTGGGGGGTTGCGGATTGTGTGGAAGGTTTTGGGGAATGGGGGGGTGACGATTGGAGGGAGGGAGGGAATGTGGAAGGTGGCGGAGGGGGTGACGATCGAGTTTTCGGGGTTGGGGGTGGCGGGGGGCCGCTCAGTCCCCAGACGGTGTCCGAGCTTCCCGAGCGTTGTCGGAGCCGCGCCTCCCCGTCCAGGCGAGTGTAGGGGGGTGGGTGGGAGCTGTTCCCCAGTCCCCTCCCTCCCCTCACACTCCTGACCCCCACCTTGTCAACGGTGGGGGGGGACAGGCTTTGGTGGGGGGAGTCAGGACGGGAGTTACTCGCTGCAGGATTCCCAGCCTCAGACCTGCTCCTTGTAGCCACAGGATTGATATGGGGCTGGGGGTCCCAGTTCAGTTTCTGCTCAATGGGTAACCCCCAGGATGTTGGTAGTTGGGGGTGAGGGGGGGGAATAATTCAGCGACGGTAACACCCTGTTTGTCTCCCCACCCCCCACAAACCCCAGGTCAGCAAGGCGGCCTGTATCCTGACCACACAGATCGTATCGAAGCTGCTCAGATCCAAGGATGCGCTGACCACCGTAGACCTGAAGAGCTGGCCCGTTATCATCGACACCGGTGAGCAGATGCTTCGGCTGGTGGATGGGTCTCCAGTCTCTGTCCCCGCTCTGTTTGTGTGTGTGTGTCTGTGTCTGTGTGTGTGTATGCGTGTGTCTGTGTCTGTGTGCGTGTGCATGTCTGTGTGTGTGTGTGCATGTCTGTGTGTATGCGTGTGTCTGTGTGTGCGCGTGTCTGTGTATGCATGTGTGTATCTGTGTCAGTGTCTGTGTGTGTGTGCATGTGTCACTGTCTGTGCGCGTCTGTGTGTGCCTGTGTGTGTGTCTGTGTGTGTGTCAGTGTCAGTGTCTGTGTCTGTGTGTG